CATTATCTTCTTTATCAAGATCTGACCTACACAGGGATCTAAATGGAAACATTCTAGCAATCAGCTTTTAAAGGGAATAAAGAATTTATATGTCCACCACATGAGCTGAGATTTTCAGCCAAGATTATACGCAGCCTCCTGGCTCTATAATATGCAAATCACTGCTTTCAAATTCACTAGTAACAAAAGGAAAATAGTTTTCCATCAATTACTAAAACCTTCCTACTTCCTATCTTACCAAAGACCATATCAGTCTTTGTCTCTGTTTCTTTGGGGCTCTGCAACTGTAAAATGGTTCATTAATGGCTTCCCTTAAAAGTAGCAGTGACATTGCAAATAGAAAATTCTTCCTATCAGGCAATTTTATAGTTCTACAGGAAAGGCTGTAACTTTTCGTGTTTCAAAAGACAGAACTAGTTCAAAGAACTGTAAACTTTATTCCATGAAATCACCTCTCTAAAATTTACCTAACGCTGAATTTGACTGAAATAATTATAGATTTTTATGCTTACCACTTTATTTCAAAATAACAGATTAAACCACAAATCAAATTTATGGTATGCAGCATCTTACTCAGAATTTAGCACGCAGAAAGTGTTCAGTAAATATTTGTTGAAATCAGAATGCATCCTGATGTCCTTTATTAGAATACCAATTTTATCAAAATATTTGAAAGTTTATTATGGGACAAACAAATAATATCATGTGGCAGAATATTAACATATACCTTATTATGACCAATAGAAATGAGCAACTTTTTATATGCAAAAACAACATAACAAAACATCATACACTTTAGTTGTTTTTCCAGGAAGTGCTGCTTTATTTACATCAAACCATCCACAATCTAGCCTGCTTCCCCCTTTACCTAAAAACAGTACGAAGTTAAGGTCTGAGTCACAGGCAACTTGTAACTGTGAAATAGTTCCTTCCTTCCCAAAGAAGGAAGATCCACAACTAATAAAAATCCCTAATAAAAATCTTTTTTAAAGGGTTGGGTTTTTTTTTTTATATTTTAGTTTAATTCAAAGTGCTGCCAATTAACATAGGCATAGGTTGGGTCTTTTTAACTTGACAAACTATCTCCTTAACAAAACAATTCATAAATAACACTCTGGGATTTACAAAACAATTTCTATGTCTTACCTTTTAATATCAAGAAGAATTCTCCATTAATCCTATTCCAAAGTCTCATCTTAGAATCAAGTTGTTCCCTAGGAGAACCTACTGAGCTAAAAAGACTTAAGAATAAATGGCAAGAATGGACCTGTCATCCAAGTAGTAAGTTTGGAGAAGCCAACACCAGGTTAGACACAACATTCCAGGAATTCCTGAAAGCCATATACCAAGTCATTAGGATTTCAACCTTCATCCATGGAGGCCAGGCTAATGAAATCTCAGATCCCTGAAATATTAATAAATTATTGAATTTAATGCTTAGTTGATGAATAATACTGAAATTTCTAAATGTCATCAGGCTCTTTGGATATAAATGACTTCTATATAAATGACAAGTGTTTCTGAACTAAGATTTGTATTTCCACAATATTTAATGATGGTGTGTATTTAATCACAAAATAAAGTGGAAAAAAGTAACACACTTCTTAATATATGATGGGAATCTGAATACCAAAAAAATAAAAAATACTTTTCATTAAAAAACACAAAACCATTACCTAAGATTTCTACTCTTTAGCTTAAAATAGTAAATAAATTAGAAGAAACTGCTTAAATTACAAAAGAAGGCAAAACCTCTTTTAATTGGTTCATTTTCCACAGTAATGTTTTAGAGAATCTTATTGAGTCCATTATTAGAACAAGCAACTTCAGAAATTATCTCTCCTATACACCAAGATGCTGCTAAATGATAGCAGAAATCAAATTCTTAGAGAACCTAAGATAATCTATATTATCCAAGTAAAAAACACTTTTTGCAACTCAGTAAATGCATTTATTGTCTATCATGTTTAGCCACATTTGTATCTTATCCCCCTACTAAACTATAAGCTCTATGAGGCCCTGGAAAGATCTTACCTAAACTCTGTATTGCACTCTAGACAGAGTTTTGCACATAGAAGGTTCTTTAAAATATTTTTGAATTACTAGTTAGATCACTAAGCAAGGGTCACTATGTTGTATTCAAATACAAAAGTTTATCAAAATGATATCTTAATCATTTCAACTATACACATGGATTTATAATCAAGTCATGCTTTTGTTACTCTAAGATGCCAGAAATTAATGCAGCATTGGTGATGTTAGCATACCTAGTACTACTCAAAAGAAAATGATGGCAACAGACCCCAAAGTAACCAAAATGTTAAAAACCCAAATCAAATTTGAATATGCTAAAGAAAATGTCAATTCAAAAAGTTTTTCTTAAACACCTACTTCAGGCAAGATGCTATATTAGGCAATGGGGATATAACAATGAACATAGTCCCTGCCCTCCAGGAACCTACAATACAATGGAAGATGAAGATGAAACATGTATACAAATAGGAAAGAAGGGTTATTGTTTTGGGTTTTTTTTTTCCAGGCAAGGGGGAGGGGGGAGTAGAATTCACAGGGATGAAAAAACCAAAGACATTTGAAGCTTATTTTCTCTTCTCTTGAAATTTACACACTATGTTAATAAATTAAATAAACATTGTCAATAAACTAAAGTTACTAAAAAGCTCTACAGTGAACCAGTGAACATTAAAATTATCACCAAATGTTATTTTTTTCATTGGAGGGTAATGTCTTTTCTTTAAAAAAAAAAAAAAACATTTCCAGTGGAAACCTTACAAGGATTTTTGGACATAATGACGAAGCTAAAAGAAAAGAAGCGGAGAAAGGAACATTGAATGGAATTTCCCCACATTCTATTTCGTCATACTTTCAAAAGGAAAATAATTTAAAGATGGTCATCATTAAATGAGGCTGCCATTATCTCAGAGAACATTCTTGGTTGAAAAAATGTTTGATTTGCGAGCAATTATTTCTATTATTCATATAGGTGAGATCTGATGCTACTAGGGGTATTTCCTTTAAAACTCATGAAATACTGTAAAAAACATATACCAATTAATTAACCCCAGGAAAATTCTAATAATGGTAAAATAACAAGTATTTAGTAATGGTAAAAGAATATGTATCCAGAAAACATAAGTAAATTACAATTCAAAGGCCAGAGCTAGAGAAAAGAAACCCCTCACAAATGGGTAAATGTACCATATAAATCTAGTATAAAAAAATTACAAGTTACCTGTAGAAAGCACTCCTGCCGATATCTTAAAATGTTCTACATGGAATTTATCATTTCAAAGATGTTAAGCCAAGAAGAGGAGTTGGCATCTAATCTCATTCGGTACCTTCCAACCATCCTCCTCCAATGGTGGGTTATTTTAACACTGTATGAGTTTTTCTGAGCTTTATTATCAAGTACAGCTAAATGATTCCTTTTTAAGCTAGCTTTGCTTGAATGGTATAAAATGCTCAGTATACAGGACCTTAACAGTTTTGGGTCTGTGCTTTTTTTTTCTCTCCCTTTTTTACCCAACCCCCCCCAAATCTTCCCAAATGTTCTCTTATGTGCACTTGTCAAAAGAAACACCCACTGAGTGTCAAAATGGTAATGCTACTGCAGCTTTCCACACTCCCAGTTATGAAGTGACAGTGCCTAGAACACGCTCCAACCTAAAATATTCTTATGTCCAAGTAGAAATGAAAATAATCTGTTGATTAAAATACAAAGAATTTGTTAAACGACACTGATTTGCGATTATTTAAATACTAAAACAGGCTTCTACTTCATCGAACCAAAGAGCAGGAATGTGAGATCAAGCTTTTATAATAGATCCTTCATGTGTGTTTTAACATTAAGGTGAACAGAAACCCTCATCTGTAAATTGCCTTTTTATACTGAAATGTCCAGAGTTTTTTTGTTTGGTTTTTTTAATCAAAGCAGTTTAATTATTAAGCACTAACAACAGGAGCATGAAATGTGTTTAACTATGGTGGAAGAATCTATGATATGATTATTTTTCCCCTTAATATCTACAAACACACACACACATACACATCCTTAACACCGAAAGAACTGCAAAACATTTAATTCCCATTAGGTAAAAGGAATGTTGTTTATCTTCTGCGGTTCCAGAAATTAACTTCACACCAGAAAACTTGTTAAGCAAGTAGAATGAGGGGCATCGGAAGATGCAGGGGGAGCCATCCCTCACATCACAAAGTCAAGGTCAGCTAAGTCAAGTTCGGCGGTTCAGAGACCATCCCACAACTGCACTCGCAGTCCCCCCCAACCCCCCCAGATTCCGATCTTCCTGGACTCACATCCCCGGGGCTCAGGAAGGTGGGCGCGCATCACAAAGAGGTGACAGCCCTCTCCCCGCCCCCCATCCCCTTAGGGCACCCTGCAGGAGAGGTTTCTCCGAGGAAAGCGCAGGGTGGAGCGGGGTGGGGGGACCACTTCGCTAGCTGAGGAGGAAGCTCCAATGGGGAGGGGGGCTGGAGGTGGAGATGGGGTGGGGGAGGCGAGAGAAACACACACACAAACACACACACACACCCGCAAATACATCCGCACGCACACGCGCACACGCGCGCGCACACCCAAGCCACCCCACAGAGGAAGGCGCAGCCTCCACTGCTGGAGCGGACCCTGATGAGCGTCACCCGGGGAGAGACTAGACTGAGCCGCCCCCTACCCAGTCAAAAAAAAAAAAATGGAAAGAACCTCTCCCCTCCAGGCTCTCCCGGGAAGTCCCCGGCGAGTGGGGACGAAGGAGGAAGACACAGAGAGGAGGAAGGGACAGGGGCAGCCCTCCCCCAGGGACACCCCCACCCTTTTACTCGCTCCAAAGAGGGCCAGGGCAGCCCCGTCGCCCCCGTCCGGTGTCCGCCCACCCTCCTACCCCCCACCGAAGAGAGCCAGCGGTTCCTCTCCCACCGCGGGAGGGCCGGGGCGAGGCGCCCAGGCAAAGGAAGGCGGCGGGACTCACCCCACTGTCCCGGCTCTAAGCGGGGACTCGCAGCGCCACCGCCGCCGCAGCCGTCACTGTTTTCTCTACCACAGCGGCACTGGCAACTAATCGAATCCTCCGGCCCCGCCCTCCCGACCGGGCGAACGCGCAGCCGAACCTGCTACCCACCCAGGCGACGGCGACCCGGACCGCCTCAGCCAATGGGGAGTCTCCTCGGGCCCGGGCGAGCACCTCCAAGCCCCGCCCCCGGCGAGGCCCCGCCCCTCCCGCTTCGGGGAGAACCTATATGGGGGAGAGGCTCCCTCTTCCTTTCTCCCTACTTTTTCTCTCTCTCGTTCTCTACATTTCTCTCCTTCTCCTCCTCTCTTCTCCATCGATACTCCCGCCCGCAGGACCCAAATTTTGTTTTTCTCCCATTGTACACACACACACACACACACACACACACACACACACACACACACACACATTCTCTCCAGACCCACCGCGGGGGCGCGCTTGCGAGCTCTCGCGGTGTCGCTCGCTCTGGGTTTGGTTGACTCGTCAGTCCCCAGCAACCAGGGCTGGAAGGATGGGGAGGGGGGTGGGGTCGGGCTGCTGCCTGACAGGAGAAAGGAGGGAGGGGGACTGGCAGGAGGAAAAAGGAGAGAAGGATTGGCAGCCCGAAAGAGCGTGACTGGAAAAGAGGCAGTGGCACAACCTGTGGGAGGGGGAGAAGAGGAGGAGACCGGGTACCCCGACAGTCACTGCAGAAAGGAGGGGAAATCCTGCCTGTAAAGAGCTATCCCAGCCTCACACCCGGGCAGGGGATACATGCACCGCAAGAAGGGGTGGTGGAGGCAAAGAGATAGGAGAGCTCGCAGGGAGCACATCTGGATGTAAAGTGGACGAGGGGGTGAAAAAGGAGGAAACGGAACCTTGGACATCTGCCAGGTGAATAATATAATAAAGGGTGGGGACTGACTTGTTCGTGCTGTGGCGCGGTCCGTTGCTACTGCCGCGGTCCTCCTGTTGCAAGCTCGGAAACACACTCACACACACACACACACACACACACACGCGCGCGCGCGCTATCCATCACTCTGACATCCTGTTCTCTGAATTGGGAACAAACAGTTGGATGGCTTGCGAATGCCATTCGTGCACTTGCTGCTGCTGCTGCACTGTGCCCCACTTCTGGAGAAGGCACAGTCTCCTCAGGCTGCAGATTCCCAATCTAGCGGTGAGGCAATGAAGTCATCACAAACCGAGAAGAGAAGGGTAGAGATCTTTAGACCCGTGCAGGACTCCAGCAAGATTTACTTCTTTTTTTTTTTTTTAACTAAAATTGAGGGTGGAGAAGAAAACGACATAAAATATTACCCATCTTCAGTGGCCACTGTGCAAATGACAAGAATGTCACTTGCTTTAAATAGTAAAATTGCAAAATAACTCTGGGTTCAAAAACAAGGAGGTGGAGGAATGCTTCGGGGATTCCTCTTTTTAAAAAAAAAGTCACTGATGCTGAGATTGTAATCGGGTTACTGCTACCACTAAATCAAAACTATGCAGCGCTGTAATATGAAATAGACACGTTGAATAAAATCTAAACCTTCCACATGGCAGGCGCACAATAAATGTTTGCTGCATTGAATTTATCTAATGGAATTGAAAAACATATTACCTATATTTATCTTTGACAGTCACTGTAACAGGAAATACTGAATTTGATATTACCATAGGTCAAGCTAATGCAGCTTTTCCCATGATGTTGAATAACCGATAGCGAAATGGAGGTATGATCCTTATGGTTCGGCAGGAAGAGCGCCAGCTAATTTTGTAGGTAGCAGCCCAGAGTTAACAGTGATGGAAAGCAATGCGAGGGGAACACCAGAGCTCTGACCTCCAATATATGCAAATTTAACAGTGCTGTACACTACCGGCTTAAATGAAGGAGAGTTAAAATCCCTGAGGAATTCATCTCTATTTCCCTATTAATAACTCCTGCTACAGAAACTATAACAATGCTTCTGTAGAATCAAAATAAGGATAATTATCTTTGATTTATTTTTATAGACCCTGAACAAGACAGGGGAAGTTCAACAACGGAAAGCCCACTTTTACTAGGTCTGCATTATTTTTATCTCAACAGAAAGATAAACTAGATATGTTATAGCTTTGTTGAATTAAATTATACATAATGTGTTATCTCCAGTATCCAAAGGTGATTTACCATTAGTAGGATAAACAACAATGAGTTGTTTTTCCAATGATGGTGAAGATAGTGATTGAGCCACTAGTAATTCAACCAATTTCTGGCTGTGACCTAGGTACTTATTTTCTAGATAACTAGCTCCCTCTGAATTAGGAAGCATTGTGCCCTTTTCTTTCTGGAAGTGGAACCCTGTAGTTGACCTTATCAACACTGTGCTCTGAAACATTAATACCAAATGGCATTAACTTTAAATTAAAATACACAAAATCTGTCATCCTGGTTTGTCACCTATTTCTAGAGTTCACTGGATTGGTAAATCAAAAGTGTGTGTCACATGTATGTAAATCTCGTTCTATTTATCTTTTTTTTCCCCTCTCAGTCTGAGCTTAGGATCTGTTTTATCCTCTGTAATTTAAAGTCTTAAAGAGCTGACTAGGGGAACTTGAAAGGTTAAGCAACTTGTGATTGTTCTCACAGGCAGTATATAACAGAGGCAGAACTTAACTGCTAATCTGCCCTGATGCCTCTCATCTCATATGTCAGTAATTCTAAAACAGCCTTTCATTACAATCATCAACATTACCACCACCATCATCATCATTATTGTCAAAAAATGTTGGCTAAATATCTATAGATACAAGAGTAAAATCCAAACTAAGGTGTACATATCTGGCCACTATCTGCAAGTTAAGAAAAGGAGGTGGGATGTGGAGAGACATTTAATCGTTTAGTCCTGTTCAACTTAAATCAAGGTGGCAGATTTCATATTTTATTTCAAAAGGAGTACCATTTGGAAAATTGTAATATTGAGGAATGTAATCCAATATCTCACTTTAAATTATTAAATCCTTTGGCTCTGCTTTCCCATCTAGCCAGACAACCAGAAAAATGTTACCAGGAGGTTAACAGATTGCTCCATGACAATAAAGTATTTCAAATATGGACAGTACTCATAAGATGGGGCACATCCTCCTTATCAGTAATGTAGAGCTTTGATACACAAGATAGCACAGCAATTGCCTGAAAGAATTCCAAAAGGAACAACCAGGGATATAAATATTGTCAGACACAATATATTGTGGTTGGCCCACAGGGAATGTTCTGAGCTTTAAGACAACACTTTGATGAGCACTACAACAGGTGCATACCACTCACTCCATCCACATGCACTTCTAGGGGTTTTCATTTGTCTGAAGTGATGCAGATCTTGCCTGGAAAAGATCAGAGCAACTCTGAGTCAAAACCACCTTAAGGATATATGCGAATATTCTGGCTCCAGAGGCCCAAGTGACTGGCAATGGTACAACCCCATTAGGGGTCCTCATCTATTTGATGAAAGAAAGTCTCTTCCATCTACTTTCTAGGCATTTTTTGTATATATTGATTTTCTTCCACTTGTTGTCACCCCCTATTAGAATATAAACTCCTTGAGGGCAGGGACTGCTTTTGCCTTTCTTTGTACCCATAGAGTTTAACACAGTGCTTGACATACAATAGGTGCTTAATACTTCTTTACTGAGCTGAAGAATTAGAATGTGGAGAATCCTCCCCTGTTTGTAAATTTTCCGGATTAGGAACTAAATTTGGGACAGATTCCCCACATTCACCAGCCCTCTTGTGGTGGCAGTAGGGTCCTATCTCTACCTTTGTAATAAGCCAGGGCAGACCAGATCAAAATGGTACTTTTGGTTCTAAAATGGAATGAATTGAATACTCATAGTCCATCTAACTGTTAACAAAACAAGGGAAGGATATTTAAATTAGAAAAAGGAATCATTGAGAATACAGCACTGATTCAGTTGGGAACTCCTGTACTGCCCATTATGGTCTATGTGTCAAGCCTCAACACCCAACTGGAGAGTCCTCATGACTCTTTATACTTAGGTGAACAGGAAGCTCTATCAACAGCCTGAGTCTCAGTCCTCTAAGCCAATTAAGTCTCAAGGACAGTTTTAATACCTTTGAAGGAGAAGAATTAACTGATCCCCTTTCTTGGGGGATTCTATCACCCCAGCATTAATCTAGTTATTCCTATAAGTCCCAAGATATGGAATAAGAAGGGGCAAGTCCTGAGATCCTTTGCTTCTGATTCATGAGCATTCACCATCCTGTAGCCTGGATCCAGTCCCACTAATGACATACTCTTTGGCCATCTTCTTTCTGCAAGGCTCCTATGTTCCAGTCTCCTCCTATGACTGAGCACTCCAAGCTCCAATCCTAAAACACTAAGCTTCTAATTTTGTGAATGAGGTAGGAGCAACATCTGTTGTATGTAGGCAGGACCGGTTTTGCCTTTAAGTAGGCAGGAAACTTGGGATCATCATTGGTTTAGTTTCCTTGTCACTTGAGGCATAAAAGACTCAATTTATGGGAATTCAGTGTTAAATGTTTTAACAGAATTCCCATTGCTGTACAGAAGTGACTTTCTGACTTATAACTGCCATTATTGTGGAAAATATAGAACTGGAAGGAAGTAACATTTTGTCTGAATTGTATCCTTTTAAATCTTAAGTCAATGTCCTGCATTTTTATGGCATCCCATCATAATCCTAAACCTGAATGATTGAACTGACCTGAGAATGACCCAGAATATGGCATTATTTGACAGGAGCTGATTGCAATGACTTCATTGTTATATTCATTGTTAAAGTATGTGAAGGGTGGTGTGGAAGAAAGGAAGCCATGTGTGATTGAATGATCAGAAAGAGGACCCTGGTATCTCGTTGTTGAAATATTTTTAGTGTTATATGAAGAACCCTTTCAGTGAGATAAGGATCCCTCTGATGGCTCAATGGGGGCTTAAGAAGCTTGACAAGGAGAATAGAAATCTAAAAAGATTAATAATCTCCTGACTCTTATCAATGGCTTTGGAAAAGCTGGATTGCCAATGTGAGGAGATTGAA